ATTTACATGTGAAAAAATAATAATCAACGATGGATATTAATGTGAAGAGTATTCAAAATCCGACCACTGGCATCAAATGACAAGATATCTAGTTTAAACCAATGAAAAGAATAATAACATGCCTTCAAAATTTGGAGTTTTCTTTAGGTCATCAGGTAGTTATGGTCTTTTGAAATTGGCATGCGTTTAGTTTAGTAGTTATCTGGACATTTTCTCTGCACGGGCAATTGAGAGAATGCTCAGTGAGTTACGATCTCGTGCAATGTTACAAATGTGGTTAACTGCCTGAGGCAAGATTAACCAAATAAGGTGAATTTAACAAGTTTTTGGTGTTTTTTCTGTAGCCCCATTCCTGGTTGTATGTTGTCACAGTGCAACAGATTCATATATGCATCATAGTGAACTATTAATTACAAATCCACCAATATAGGAACAGTCTTGTAAACCACCAAGACTGGAGGCAATGATATTTACGTGTACAAAAGTCATTCTTCTACATAAACCATTGAATATTGAAATAAAAAATTTTCCATCTCCATTGGATCATAGCCCGATGTAGGGTCTATGCATACACACGGCCCTATTCAGTGCTTTGTCATACATATACGACTGCACGGTTACTAAATATTTTTAGTAACCGTGACGACTGCAAATTATTGGCTATCTGCTCCGCCAGGATTGCGATTAAAATTACTTTTGCTCGTCTGATTTTCTGTGCTGATTTTTCTCAAACTTGGCAGGCAGATCACACATTCACTCGTTGGGTGGTAAAATCTAAAAAAAAATTACTGTCCCACGATTGCCATAGCAACAGCCCCAAAACTGATTTTGAATAGCTTCGTGCCAAATTCATCTCCTACATAGCTCATTCTACTCAGCTTCAGTGTGGGCATAAAGTTGCCATTTGTTTTTCTGACTTTTTTTTCATTACCCAGAAATTAGCCCTCAAAGTTGGGTCAACTTTTCAGGAGTAGCAGCATTTTAACTCTTCCATTAACTTGGCAGGCAGGTCACACCTCCACTCCAGTTAGGTGGTAAAATCTAAAAATTTCTGGCCCACTGTTGCCATGGCAATAACAGAAAAAGATTTTTGGATACTTTCGCCCTAAGTGTATTACCTCCTACCAGTTTTGTAACAGCAGTGTTCAATTGATCAAGCTTTCTATTTTGGCTAAGTTGCAGACATTGTTACACTAAGTCCCAACACAAATTTGAATGAACTGTAAATGCCATGTCCAATCAAAGAATCTAGAAAATACAGTCGGAAATAATTATTACAGCAAAATATGCATTAGTAATAAAGTGAAGTGACATCTGTAGGCTGGTTTTAGTTATAAACAGGTGTTCATGACCTACCAAGGCATAGCCGAAAACATGTTTGGTTTTTGAGTGGAGCGTGATGGCCAACCAGCCT